GGGTTTTTACAAGCTTTGAGCCAATTATTAACATTATAACAAATAAATGCTCAATATAACTATATATATGTAAGTTGAATGACTGAAATAAATAGATTTGTTTAGCATTGTTTCGCCTGTACAACACATTGCCTCTGAATTGTACAACCACAATTGTTTTGGTAGTACTTGAGGATTGTGATTTTTAGATTTGTGAAATATTGTGAAATGTCGGAAACCAAATGCACAAGTTCTGTTTTGTTTGCTTCATATAAAACATGTGTGAGGAGGAAGAAGATGGGTGAAAAATCTCATGACAAGCAACAGCGAAACAGAAAAATGAGAAAATAATGTGCCCATCCTGGAAATGTTAGCATCAACAACACCCAACACTGGAATCCAAACTCATTTCAGTGTCTTATCCTCTGTGTTTGAAATCAGATGTGGCTCTTTGAAGCTTTAATCTCATAAAGTCCACACACAGAACGAATGGACGGTGTTTTCCTCCCACGCATCCTGTTTGTGGACACATCTCACTAAAGCACTCCAGGTACGAGCTGCGTGTCCTCAGCTTTGTTATCAACGTCTGGCTTTATACTTTCTGAAGTAGGAGGAATGGAAAAAATATGATAAACGACTTCAAACTTCAGCCAAGCGGAGTAGTACGATGTATATCAGATCCACTGATTGAAAAGTATCTTATTGTACTGTTTGTATTTGGGAATCACTTCCACTCAACCATCTGGCGTTGCCTTCAACAAAACAGGCAACACACGCATCCTGAGTAAAAATACAGATATTTTGATGCATTTCTTTTATCATTCATTTACTTTGATATTGAAACGGAGTTGATCGATTTCAGTGTCAATTGTTAACTGTTTTGTTTGTTTTATTTGTGTACTTTTAACCTTTTTTATGTATGTACTTGTCTTGTGGCACACTGGGGACTTTTACAAATGTTTTCCAATGTGGTTTCACTGCAAATGGCAAATAAATGAATCTGAACAGTTTCATGCATTAATTTTTGCTTGAGGGAGTGGATTCTTCCTTTCATAATCATTCATAAATACATAAATAACCCTAACAGAAGCTGAACTCAGTGTATTACTTATTCATGTAAAATGGGTCTGGCATGTGCCTCCTGTACTGGCCCCGCTCCCATCTCTGTGTGTAGAGAGAGACAAATGCCCAAAAATAACAATTGTAAACCGCTTTGTGACTCTGGTCTGTGAAAGGTGGTATATAAATAAAGATTACTTACTTACCAATAGTATGCATGCATTGGCTTGTGTGTATTCTACAGTATATTCTAATGTAAAAGTGTGTGTTTTAATTTCTGTATAATATTTCTAAATAGTCTCTTTTTATTGAATCCTGTTGTTAGAGCAGTTGCAACAGTAATGCTCTGATTAAAGCAGCCTGATGTCATGTTGGAGGAAGTCCTTTGAAGACCATGAGGGACATCCAGGCCTCACAAAGAAGCTTTGTGGCAGCACGTCCCAAACACATGACGCTATGGTCTGTGACAATACTCTACATTTACTATTACGACAGCATCGGAGGATCAAAATGAGAATAAGATAAAGACTTGACTTACATCTGTGTCCAACTCCCACAGCTGTTTCCACCTGCACTGGAGCTGGTCATTTTATATCACAGTCAGAAACATCTGATCAAAGCAAAAGGCTCGAGATGAACGACTGAGGTGGGACTTCCACGTGAAAGATCAAAAGGAGTAAAAGTAGAAAGACTCAAATAAAAATAATTATAACAAATGTAGTGAGTAATAAAGGATTCATTGGTATACACTACCGTTCAAAGGTTTGGGGTCACATTGAAATGGCCTTATTTTTGAAGGAAAAGCTGTAGATAACTTTAAACTAGTCGTAACTGTAAAGAAATACACTCTGTACATTGCTTATGTGCTAAAGGACTATTCTAGCTGCAAATGTCTGGTTTTTGGTGCAATGTTGTAATTGCTGCAAATGGAGGATTCTTTGACAAAAGCAAAGTTGGATGTACAAAAAATCTTATTTCAAATACAAATCATTATTTCTAACCTTGTCAATGTCTTGACTCTATTTTCTATTCATTTCACAACGTATGGTGGTGATTAAGTGTGACTTTCCATGGAATACACTTGGGTGACCCCAAACTTTTGAACGGTAGTGTACGTTTACAGAAATCACTCAAAATCACTGTCTCTGTCACACAATGCTTTCATATTGAAGAGAAAACAGGACTTCTTGGTCAAAATGAATCTCAAAAACTAAATAATTAATTTGTAGACATCAAGAGAAGAAACTTTGTACAAAAGTGATTTGGTGCTTCTATACCAGACAATTGTAACATGGCATTATATGTTATTACCTTTAAAATGGTCTGGTAAATACGAATCAAATAATTATACTAAGAAGACAAGAACCTTCCTAAACTAATGACTTTGCAGAGTTTAGTCTGTGTTGCAGTGCCCTCTAGCGTCCAGTTTTAACACTTGCCTGTAACTCCCTCTCCCCATTAACGTCAAGAACAAAGTGGAACGTGAGTGCATCAGATTGTGAGGTTGTGCCTGAGGAGGACTCCCCTGTGTGTGTGGTATTTGGTCAGATATGATCAGTGGAGAATCTCCCAGCAGCCCCACGCTGACTCTCTGAAGTTCACTTTATCTCAAAGGCGCTCAATCACTCTCCAGGAGTCCTCTTTATCAGATTATTGTGAGAAACATTTTCCTGATAAGAAAGGTTTAAATAGAAGCATTAATTACACCTCAGATGACACTCAAAGGGTTTCAAGGAGGGGCTAGATCAGAAAATAAAGTTGTACATCAATAACACCAGATGGCTAGTTTTTTCTTCACATTATCTGTCGACCTGGCCTCTAGAAAAATATTGTAGATCAGGGGAGTCAAACTTATTTTGGCTGAGGGCCAAATAAAAAAATAAAGTGCTGGTCAGGGGCGGAAAACAAAAGTGGGTTTCATTTATAAAACATTTTTTGAATAAGAATATAAATGACTTGTTTCACATTAGTTAGATTGAATATTCTTTTCTGATTAGAATTAGTTCAGTTACTGTGTGGACTGAACCCAAACTGGACCAAATATTGAAGGTATATATGAGGATTTTCTACTTCCAGGTGCTCGTCAAATAAGACCAGAAAGTTTTGTTCAAAAAGTGGAGAAAATTGGGAAATCCTCCTTCATATCTTTAAGAAGAAATGTAATTGAAGACTCGTAAAAAACATAACATAATAATACTAACTTCTAATTACATGTTGGCTAAACATTTTGTATGGATTTACATTTTATGGTTGTTTTCTTGAGAGAATTAGTAATGGATAACATGCCATTGTCGCCTTCTACCATCAATGCTGCTGTTTAATATAATAATTTGAAATAATCTAAAATCATCTCAGGGGCCACTGGAAATGGTCTCGCAGGCCGGATCTGGCCCCCGGGCCTTGACTTTGACACCTGTGTTGTAGATCAAACCATTATGGATCAGTGGAGACCCAGGTTCACGACAGCAAACATATGTCTCTCACTTCTGGGTTAATATTCATAAAAATGTCCAAATGGAAAATACAATACAAAGTAAACTATGTAATTAGAATCCATGTTCCAGTTCTTCGCTCCTTCAACAGTCTTCACATGTATTTTTGTCCTCTGTCATATCTTTAGATCAGCTTATTCAGATAGAAAAGTGAAAACAAGGGCCACAAGTTACAATTATTTTGATCATCAATCGTTGGAATCGAAGTGAAGTGAGTGAGAGAACATCTGGAGAACATCTTCAGAGAGACGACTTGTGACACAGAGTTGTTTGATTTTAATTAACCTCGTAAATACATTTTAATTTCATTCTGCAGTCATTGTCATAAAACCTCTTCGCAGCATTGAGTTTTTTTGAATTAGTTTAAAACTTTTTACGATAATCGATTAGTTGCGATTAATCAATTCATGCCCTGATGCAAACAATAACATGTTTTATAATAACAAAAATAATACATGATGTTGTGTTCTCATCATTCATCATGATGAATGAAATGATGAAATGATGAAAAATAATACATGATGTTGTGTTCTAAATTGTTGAATTTGAGTTGTTAGTGAGTTACGACAAACAATTATGGAAGAAGGTGAGGTAAAAGTGAGGTATCCCAGCTTTAAGTAAACCATATTCTAAGACAACCACATATTAAAGGAGTAGTAGTAGTAAAAAAAAAAATTCTGTCAATAACAAGAACATTAATTCATAAACTTTCTAAGACATAATATATCTTGCTGAAAGGAGACTCTATCTTATATGAAAATGTCTGAAAATGAAATGTGTACGATGAACCAGGCTAGGTTTAGAGTCTATGGTTTTAGACCGAACTGTATTCACTCATACAACCACACGGGGGCGCCATTCACCTGTCGCTGCATTGAGGCTGCAGTGAGGCAGGTTTAACGCTCTTGGTTAACTCTTGCCACTAATTGGATCGTGTTCATCAAGACCTAAACGCGCAGTTTAGCTCCTTATAGCGTGACCAACGTAATAAGCAAAGAAACGTGATAGGGAATGAGAACGTGAAACTTTGGCTGTTCTTGTCCTAAACAAGTACAGCCAAAGTTTTCTCATAGACTGTATTCTCTCCCATGACAGAGGGACTTAACACAGGTCAAAACGTGTTCTAGTTATCTGCTGGGGATAAACATGACAATGGGGTGGAAATCGGGAGATAATATGTCCACAACGACCCGGGGTAGTATTCAGATGAGCTGCATGTCAGGACAGCACCAGTCGGGCCGTGAATCTGAAGGATTAATACCAGATGTTGAATGGGACAGTGCGGGCAGCCAATCAGAGGCGAGGCCATTTGGGGACTGGGCGGAGCTACAGTGTATCTACTACGATCAACATTTATTCTAACAGGTAGTTCAAAAACTAAACAAGCAGAGAGAGAGAGAGAGACTCACACACACACACAGGGGTGAGAAGTGAGATAAGACAAGCCAGGGGAAACTTCCAAGGACGTACATGTTTCTTCTCTCTGGATATGCGCACGACATGTTGAGCAGAAAGGGCTCCAGCGCGGGGGTGATGATGGCACAGTCCGGAGTGGATCGCACCAGGGTTGGGGAGAGACTGCACGCTGCTCTGGCCGGGCTGCAGGAGCTCCATCTGCTCCGGGACAGACAGGGGGAGATGGTGACCTGGGCCCTGCGTGCGGACAGAGAGGAGCCGGTGACTTCGGTGCGCCTCAGCCCGGAGGGGCAGGGGGGCATGGGGCCAGAGGAGCAGCGGCTGGAGGCGACACTCTCTGCGCTCAAACAGCAGCTGGTAAGAGCATTGACATGTGTAGACTTGGGGTTTTGTGTGTTATTATTGATGCATGAAGGTATATAGTATTAGTATTAGTATTTGTTTCATTTTATTATTTTTTTTCATTCATAAACACGACAACGATAATGTTTTAGCTGATCAATTTCACAGGGACAATTGTTTCCTGTACTTTATAGCTTTTTTATTCCTTTACTTGTATTTTTGTTCTATTTCTTTACTTTTATCTTGTTTTATTTATTAACTTATCTGGTGCACACTGGGGACTTACACACATGTATTCCAATGTGGTTTTTTTTTTTCTACAAATGTCAAATTAAATGAATCTGATTCCAAAACCAAAACTTATTTTAAGCACAGATACGCACGATGGGGCCACTTCATTTGGACTTGCAAGGTGTCATGTATTGCTTGCATGCATCTTTTAACACTTTTTTTTTTTCAACTATACGTAAATAGAAGGCAACAAGGCGGAGTTCACCTTGCATGCTTAATCTCAATCTCAATCTGGATGTCCTTGACCAGTGACCAGACAACAAGTAACAAGACCGCAAAATATCGTGCGTAAAATATTCCCCTATAGTCGCCTATCCCTACTTCTCAAATGTTCGCAGATTGTTTAGTTTCCAAACTCAAATCTCCTCAGCAACTTAATTGTTATAAATCAGCTGTTTCTCATGCGCATTCGCTTCAATTATTACCAGCCCCACACTTTAATACCCTCAGCTGGGGGTAGGAAACGGGATAAAGTGTCATAAATCAAAGGTTCATTGTAGGACCGGTGGGACCTTAAGATGTGTGCGTGCGCGTCCTCGTTGCGCGCGTCCGTGCAGTCTGCAGGGGGTTATCCGCAATCATTAACCACTAAGAAATAGGAAAAGAGTGCATTGTGAGTCCTGTTTACTACGGGATGTGAGCTTGCGGTTACAGTCAGCTCTCTGGAGGCCGTAAGGTTTTCCGTGACTGGCTTTTTCCAGGTACCTTTGGGATTAAGGTGCCTTTGTGTACAGTGGAAAGTGGTGCACATGCTCATTACTGCATGGAGTAATTGTGTTTTGAGAAGGTAAAGCGAAAAAATAATCACTGCTAAAGCAAAACATGTGATAATCTGGTCTATATTTAAAGCTGCGTTACGTAACTGTATCATAAATAAAAGATTTTGAATGGAGAAAGTTTAGTAAAAGTAAAATCTTATTAGGAAACATTTGAGCTTTTGCAAACTTTCATGAAAGATCCCTGTGAGTTACTATTCGACGCTTTGGGCTGAGAACTGATTGGTGTCATGAGTGGTCCTTTCTTCACTTTTCTATCTCAAAAAGCTGAAAATGAGACAGAGGCCAAAAGAAATACATTGATGTGAAAACTAGTAATAGAACCAAACTGTTCTGAGGACGAGAAATGAGCTGGATTAAAATAGGTTTGAAAATTAGGTACCTGTGCTTTAATTATACACTTTTGAAGAGGCTTTCCTTCATTAGCTCTATGTTACATAAAATAAGGTTTGAACTGTTATGTACATGTGATTTACGAGGACTGACAAGGAGGTCCAGGCTAATACTTTAGTAGCAACATAGACAACCACAAGTATTTGAATAAACTGCTTCGTGCCTGATCTAGTCGCTTCACTAAGGTTATTTTTCTAGGTCAGTCATGCTATTTGAAGTCCACTGTATCAGTACATGCATCGCCTGAGCTGTAGTGCAAACAGTCTAATGTTATGTCCCAACCCCCAGGCCCTCTCCTCCTGCAGCGTTTACACAATGACCCGGCCCTCGCGGTGGGGGAGCAATGAGTTACCCACCAACCAACAACCAACGCCTGTCCCGAACTCCCCGTGTCCTGCTGGGGTTAATCAGTAGCCACAGCTGGGACTGCTTTGTTTTTCGGATCACTATACATTATAAGCATCATTTCAATAGGCCCCTAATAAAAAAAGTTTCTAATATACATTAGAATTGAGCATCCTGTTGCATGAAAAATAAGGCATTTATTGGGGTTAAAGAGGTTGTCTTGTTTTTGTTTTTTTTGTAGTCTCGCCTTCGAAAGCAGGATGTGGGGTTGAAGACACACTTGCAGCAGCTGGACCAGCAGATAAATGACCTCAAGCTGGATGTGAACAAAGTGTCCACGGATCAACAGGAAACTGACAGCCGCCCAAGCTCAGGTAGGAGTTGTGTGTTGAAATTTGCATTATGGCACATCCTCATAACAGGTGTTGTGTTTGTATGGGGCCTCTATATTTACATTGTAAAGGTCTGAAAGGAGGATCTGATCTGCAAATGACGTAGCAGAGTATTAAGTCTCTCTTGTATCTAAAAAGGACAGAATTGAATCCATCCATAAATGAAAGATCCATGATTTTACAGCTTCTCATAAACCAAGGCTTAGAAGACTCTTTTAGTAACCTTTTTTATACCAGAAATGTATGGTGATATTATCTCAAACCGTCCAATCTATCTCTCTTCTTCTATCTCTTTTATCTGGCTGCATTCAATAATTCCCATTACAATCGATTATGCGTGACTAAGTGGGTGGCCATCATGCTTCAGAGTTGGAAGGTCGTAGGTTCAATCCTGTGTCAGCCTGGGTCTTTCTGTGAGGGGTTTGCATGTTTGTCCCTATGTTTGTGTGGGTTTCCTCCAGGCGCTCCGGTTTCCCCACCCACTCAAACCATGCACCACAGATATGATAGCCCTGACCAACTGCGACGACCACTGCTCCAGACAGGTTACCCTAATTGAGGGATAGGTTAAACGCAGAGGAAATTTTTTATTACAAAGACATGTTTCATCATAATAACCTAGTCTCAAGTAAACACTGCAAAGTTATTACGACATCCAAAACCAATAGAAACAGACCACCTGTCTTTCCTTAACAATGAGAAATGAATCATAACCAGTCAACCATCACAATATGACATCCATATCTCATCTAATCACTCATCTCCATATTGTCTGCAGGTTTCTATGAGCTTAGTGATGGCGGCTCCGGATCTCTCTCCAACTCATGCACATCGGTGTACAGTGCGTGCCTGTCATCGCCGCAGGCAACCTTACCAACGAGCCCTCCGAATTCCCAAACTAAGCCGCATCACCAGACCGACGTGTCGCGTAGGCGGTCAGCAGACGAAAGCACCACCCAAAGCATTGCACCACGAATGAAAGCTGGTTTACATCTAGGCAGCTGTCGGATCCGCGCCAACACAGAAAAGGCTCGCCCAAGACCAGTGTCAACAGGTAAATCAAGTGTCTAGTCTTTTGTTAGGCTTGTGCTAATGTAAACCCCACAATTATTATAACCAAGCTGCTCAAGCATATATTTGCACCTGTGTGTGTCGTGCAAAGAGCGCTAGATATTTACATGTTTGTTGTATCTGTTTTAGGTGATCTGGAGAGGATGATGGGGCAAATGCAGAACTACAACAAACCAGTGGATACAAACAGGTCTCCATTATCCCAAAATGTCCAAGCTTTTCCAATGGACTCAAAGTTTCAGAGCAATCTTGTGTCCCGTAGTGGAGGAGAAGTTTATCAGTATCCAAGTCCACTCCATGCAGTCGCCCTTCAAAGTCCTATTTTTTCCCCAAACACACACACTGGACATTTAGATGGAGAAATGTCACTTGAAAACGGGAGCAGTTTGCTTCAACGACCAACTAACTATGACACTAAAACTTTGGGTTATATTGACAAAATCCTTCAGCGTAGCTTCAGTAAACTCAGCTTCGAGTCTGGCACGGACACCATCTCATCCCAACACTCACACAGGAAGCCGTCTGAAGTGGTAACGGTATTTCCTGAGGTGTCCCAGAAAGAAGTGTCAACCCTTCCACCACTTCCCCCACCTCCACCCCCTGTCACGACAACTCCACAGACCACAAACGTTGTCCCAGCGCTGGATAACGACCAAAAGAGGCACTACCCAACTCAGGAGGCAGCTGATAACACAAACCAGTACAAACAGTTGCTTAGAACCCACAAGGTTTCACACCGCCTGTCCTTCCCAGCTGACACCCGCGAGTACAGCTCAGATGAAGTCACCACCTCCACCCTTAAGAAAGCCATCAAAATGCCCATACCGTACTCAAGTTTGTCAAGAAGTCACTCGGATTATAGGAGTAGCGACAACACTGAACCGAGACACGATCGTAAGGGCCATAAGCAAAGATTGGTTATGTCCCAGAGTTCTAGCACAGAAGAAGGGCATAGCTTTGAGGTCCCGCATAGCACCTCTCCGCAATTTGTCCACGCTCAATTTGTCCCAGCTGGCTCCCAAAGAGTCAAGGTCCGACAAGCGGACCGTAAAACCAAAAATGTAAAGCTTAAGAAGAAGAATGTTGAAAAGCCTAGAAAGCAGCATCACGGCTACTCCTCTGGGGAAAAGTCAAAGGATTCCAGTAGTGGCAAATCAGAGTCAAAAAAGTCTTCAAAGAGTAAAGCAATGCAAAAGTCGCCTGTTTATTTATCGGATGAGCATAGGCGGGGATCAGGATCAGACTCCAGTCACTGTAGTCCAGGATTTATGTACGCACAGAAGATCCAAGCAAAACAACAGGCAAACATATCTGTAGGCAAGTCTATCAAATTCCACAGAAAACCCCAAAATGTAGAGTATGAGATTGATCAGAGAAAAAAGCGGCAAGTTGACGTGTATCAGGCGCAAATGTCTTCCAGGCAAAGGTCAAGAGAGCCTTCTGTCCCAAATGCGCATTTGGTTAGAAGCATGAGTGCTCGGACAGGACAGTGGATGCACCCGCAACGCCACTTCCCAACATCTTTGTCTGCAAATTCTTTCCACCAAAATCTGAATTCTAGATACCCCGCTGCCCCGTACCACATGACAAGCCGCTATCCGCCTCGCTGTGAGTCTGAATATTCAGCCGAGTGCGCGTCTCTTTTCCATTCAACTATTGCAGCTAGCAGTGACGGAGAGATGAGTGATCACACGACCAATCGATTCGGAGATAGCGAGTCCAGTCAAAGCTATCAATCACTATCAGACTCTGACAGTAGCTTGTCTTTTGATGAGGAAGATGACTTTCTGGATGAAGAGGGAGGTTTTCAATGGGCCAATGCTTCTATGGCACCTACAACAGCGGGATGCCCAGTGCAGCAACCGCAACAACAGCAGCCGCAGCAGCCGCCCCGCTGTGCTCCTTCCGCTCCTTCCGCTTGCCGAATCAAAGCGTCCCGAGCCTTAAAGAAGAAGATCCGGAGGTTTCAGCCGGCTTCTATGAAGGTTATGACCCTAGTGTAACGCTCAGGCCAAAAAAGCACTGCAATGAGACTAACAGCTGTGGGACAGACCTCAGAACACCTGTTTTTGTTTTGTATTTTGGAAAGGCTCGTAATCTTGCTCGAAACTTGGGTCAAATTGTACTTTATCCGTGCACTATTTGGATATGTTGATGGCGTTTGATTTGCAACAACACATTGTATTGTATTAAAATGTACATCTTAATTATTGAAACATGTAAATACTGTATGTATAATCAGTTTGGGTTATTATCAGTACTTTTCTGTAAACCAATCCTTTTTTATTTCAAATATGTCAATGTTTATTACTCGTTTTCTCTGATTATAACTTTTGTGCTGCAAAATAAACAGGTTTAATATACATGCAAATGCCTTGTGGTCTATATATATATCCATATGTTAGTAGAGAGGCTCATTAAAGTGGCTGCTATCCTGAGTCGATCTGGGGTATTAGAGGCAAAATTGCACTGCACTCCAGGGACTTAGTTTGAAACCCCCCACTTGGCTGCAAATGTCTGTGTGAGGCAAAACAGCTTGGTTAAAATAGCTTTTAACGACTCCTTATCTAGTTTCCTGAGTTGTTAGTTACTTCTTCAATTATCAACCCAGACTGTTGTTTAATTAGAGGGAGAATCTTATCAGACATCCACACAAACATCCAAGCCCTAAAATTCACAGTCACACTCGACACTCAGCAGAAAACAAACGTATGCATAAGGATCCCAAATAATGGTCTTGTTTTAGGTCATTTTGATTTGACCTTGAGGTGTTTAGATGTACTTGCTTTCTATCATCTTAAACTAACAATCAAAATAATGTTAATGATAGTTTTTAATGTAGCCAGGGCAAACACAGTAATACACATGCAATATATCAACGTCCAATGTTTTTGATCAGAAAAAAATAGTAGATTAAAAAAAACGAGAATACCATATATATATCATTGTGACTATTTCTTCAAGTAATAGATTAAGATTAAGAAATTAATCGTCCCACAGTGGAGACATTTCAGTGTTGCATCACAAGTTACAGAACAGTAGGAATGAGATGCACACAGCACAAGATAAATGAATATTCACTCAAAAATAAAATGAAATAAAATCTCTGACTCTAGCATAAAAAGAAGCAGTATAAAAGTAGTTTTTCAGTTCATGGCATTATAGAGTAGCCCTGGATGAGAATAATTTGGATGGCAGGGAGTCTTTGTGTTCCCCCAAAGAACATTTTAATAATAATTTTGTGAGATCCCAGGGTGTTTTGAATAGCAGACCACATCGCACCGCAGCGTAGAGTAGAAACATTGTTATTCATTAAGCAGACATTATCATCAGTCGTCACCAGCTAACTGAATATTTAGACAAAAGTTATTTTCTGTGAGGCCAGGACCAAAAAATAAACAATCCACAAATGCACAGAATCTTATTTTCCTCCTCAATATTATGAGTTTATCTAGAAAAAACCCCATAAACCTCATTGAACCTTGTACAGCTTTGAATGTAGCATCACTGCAAATCTTTTTCTCATAAATAATTCTTTTTTCTTTTTAATCCAACAGAAAGATTTGTAAAATCAACATTCTGCGAACAAACACCTCTTTAGCCAAGTGAGATAGGTCCTCTCTTTTCACTTTTCTGTCTGTAATATAATAATAAGATTTTTTTTTTTTTCTATATGGACATTTTCTCACTGTGGGATCTTTTTGTGGTCTGAAAGTTAGGCGACCCTGCTTAACAATCATTACAACATTAGCTGTTGCTTCTTGCCATTGAAACCATGAAAAAAACTAGCACACTGTATTTTGAATAGTGAGAGTGCTGTGCCTGCATATACAGTATACAGTATATATAAATAGGAAGTTGGCCCTTTACCTAAAAAGTAAAGAGATTTAAGGAGACGGCCTTTTGGCGTTTTAAATGATGGCGGCTTAAGGAAACTCTCAAGTTTCTGGGAGCAGAGCTGAAGTCCAAAAACAGCTGGATGCAGGAGCCTGGGACACGTAGGATTAAATTGGGAGTGACAGATGATAAGAGGTTCCACACTGCAGACCTGTCAAGAGGAGCTTAGACAGTGGGCAGCTGTGAAAAGTCGGCAAATAATCTCATTTCCAAAATCTGCCTTGGTATCTTTTCCATTAAAATTCTTCCCGAAGGGGTGAGGAAAAGGACACGGTAGGTATAGGTGACCAAGTAAGCGACTGTAAAAACGTCGCTGCCATCACGCGTCATGTAAGCCTGAAGTTACAGCTAAGAAGATTATAAAGGTGAGAAAGATTTAAGTGATGCAAATAATTGGGCTTTGATGTGTCATGTTCATTGAAGCTGGAGTGCCTAACTTTAAAACAGCAAAAAGAAGAAATGTCATAAAGTCCATGTATCTGTGTCAAAAATGAGACAAGATGCGGATCTGTTTTGGGTTGTGTCGCAGACAGAAGACAAGATATGAACGAGGATTTTACAGCTTGCATGTGATATTAAAGCATGGTGGAATCAAAAACAGTCCAATCCCTCAGAAAACCAAAACATGAAGTGGAAAATCACTGAGTCCTGCTTACTGGATAATGATGAGTTCAGCTTTAGCCATAGTTGCTTCAAAGAGTTATAAAACATCCATACTAGCTCCTGGCTCTCAAAACCGTTTGGTTGTATGACTAGTTTTCACATGTATGTATTTGGGGCCTCTGTCACATTCTTAGATCAGCTTTTCCAGTGAAAAAGAGAGGACCAGCCCTCACTCAGTCACTCATCTCTCAATATGTATTAATTTCAAACGTGTAAATCAAATATTCACGTTAAAAATACTTATATCATTACATAGAATCACCACTCACACATGCAAGGCACACAACACTAAACAATACAAGAACAATACCAGTACAATTTCATGATTTGAAAGTTGTTATAAATGTAGGTAGCTATATCTTTTTGTAGTCTAAATTTATAGTAGCATCTCTATCATGGCATATGTTTTAGCGGAAGTACTAAATTACCCATTTTGAGGGTGGGTTCAATTGCACACAAATACTACTGGAACAAAATGAGGATTCAAAATAACAAAATCTATATTGGAACAAGTGTGAATGAACATGAAAAAGCAATTACTGTTGTTGTTCATTGACTATTCTAACTCTCCGACACATAAAAGGTGAAAATCTTGACGTTCTTTGTGCACAACTGCCTGTTAAAGGGTCATGTGTTAATTCAGTCTCTATTTTTACTCATCCCACACAGAGCGGGCTAAAGGCCAGAAACCCTAAACCACAATGAACGTAAAAGTAGTTGAACAAGTGGCAACAAATGAATCAATCCATTAGTATTTGTCCCAGCGGCTGACCCCTGGCCTCGGGTACAGGGGCAGATGGGAGCGGTCAGAAGGATTAAACCCATAGACTTAGGATCTGCGGACTCTCTGGACTTGTCTTTGAAGTCCAGACCGGCTCGGGTTGACCTTGTTCTCCTGCTGACCTGTGCCGGCTGAATAACTCCTCTTGATCCTGCTACAATAAAGAGAGTGCTATTTCTATGACCACACACCATTCACGCCTTTGTCTCTATTGTGTCTAAACATTGTCTTTCTCTTTTCAGGACTGGGCGCCACTTAGAGATGGTTTCTGGTTAAAAAGTAGGAAATGTTGTAATGATTGAGTTTGTAATTTAAAGCTGAGGTACATAACTTTCAAGTCACAACAGCATAGAGATTAAATCCATCTACTTAACTCTCAAAACAAGTCGGTACTGGTTCGCACATGCAAGGTTTTCAGACAGAAAAGAGAAAAAGAGAGGACCCCCCTTACTCAACCAATCAGCTCTCAACCCAAAGAGTCAACTAGTGACTCACAGGGCTATATCTTACAAGCAATCAAAAGGTATAACATATTTTTATGAGATATTGTGGGCTTAATTTCACAAAACCTTGGTAAAGAAAGAGTTTTGTGAAAGTAAGGCTCTTTCTTTTGTGACAAACAAAATAATAAATAAATATACATAATATATATAGTTGTAATGCACTTAACATGGTTTAGGTAATATATAGGTCGAAAGGAAATATCTCTACAAATATGAGAGGTCAGTAAATGTTGTACTTTCGTATGATGGCAGTACAAAATTGCAGTCAAAAAAAGTAAAATGGTCTTAAATTCAACTTGACAAAACCTGGAGCAACCCTGATCACAACTACGACTTGAACTGGTGCGCAGATTAACTATTTTCTTACTTACTATTGTCCACTTTTGGCTAAGTCCTGGTTAAGAGCGTCTATGGTCTATAGCTTTAGACAAATCCTAATTGGTTTCACTCAACGGTAGTCTTGTTATAGTCTGGTAAAGATCTGGGGGCAGTTGGAAAGTCAAATATTTTTTCAGGTGGTTGTAGGTGTGAAGTATGAGCTCCATATAATGTTACTGCCATTTTAGCAGCAATCCAGATTCATAGGTAGAAAAATGTCGTATTCAATAAACGTAAAATCCAAAGGGAAAAACAGCACGAACTACAGAAATGAATCAATGATTTTAGACCAATAGAAAGAGTTCTTTTTGTGGGATATCAGATTGATAAAAATACCTTACAAGCCCTGATGAGAACAGCACGTTGACGCGTTGGAGAATTAAAAACCAGCATTCTCTGCATCCGAGTGCCTTTGACTTATTCTCTAAGTAATAAAAATACTAAGTAAATAGTCAAACTGCTTCCTTGCCCTCACAAATCTCTTGATATGAAACCAATTTCCTCATGCATATTTAGTTTTGGTCTCTTAAAAACAACTTTTTCAGGAAAAGTGGAGTAGGATGAATACTCTATGTTGTAATTTAGGACAGGAAGTTATAGTATGCATTTGATGTTTAAAACATTAAAGTTTGAGTCATTCACTCAATTATCAGTCAAACAGAAAAGTGAAAAAGAGAGGACCAGCCTCACCAATCTCAGTCCAAAACATAAAATAGTGACTCACAAGATATTTCTTACAGCTAAAAAGAACCTGTTTTCTAAAGACAGCATGTTGTGGACT